AAAACTTAAAAAAATCTTCTTTGAAAAAACTCAAATAGCTAGAGTTTAGATATTAAGCACAAACAAGGTGAGTTTTTCATAATTTTTGAAGATTACAGACATTTATGTAAAAATATCGAAATGCAGTTAGCTAGCAATGTGTTTTCCGAGTATGCACATGTAAAGATATTGCCTGTTGGTGGACAATTTGATGGAAATACCGTGCGACGCAGTCACTCAGGGTAGCTGGAAAACTGGAGACAACTTCTCTTTGGACCTAATTTAACATTGAAAATATAAATTTAATTTAAGTTGGTTTTAATTAATATATTAACCTAAACCATGACTTTGTTTAGGCCAGCTCAGATCAGCAACTGTTACACATACATTTCAAATTTTATTATGATGCTTGTACATGCTTTAGTTACAACCATATTTTCATGATTGAGTATATATCAGATACTGATATATGCTCAAGCACCATGCTGGATTTTAGGTCAACCATATTAAAATAAGATTGAATCATTTTTATTTTAAATTTATTTTAAATTTTTTAAATTAAAAAAAATCTATTTCTGATTTTAGGGTTGTGTACATAAAATGGAATTTTGTATGATGTTATTATCTGTGATATTTCATTGTAGTGTATATTTGCTTTTAATCAATTAATACTATCTTACCCATATTTATATGTGCTTATAAATCTTATTTGTTTTACAGAGTCACTCGTAAATGTATATTGATCTTCTAAATACTTTTAGATATTTTCTTTTATACAGATGGTTTGTTCGTATTGTTAAAGGATAGTCAGTCATGTCGGAAAATAGCTTATATAGCTAATGTTTATATGTTTTTATGTAAGTGACTATAAATAAAGATTATCTTATCTTATCTTAAAACGGAAGAATAGACTGGTGTCCTGCGCAATTATATGGGAACCATAATTGGACAGGGAACCAGAATAAACGGAAGCAGTGTATAAAATACCGAATGACAATTTTAAAACGGAAAATGTAAAATAAAAATGAACGATTATTTTATACTATTTCACGGTAAAAAGTAAATCGAGCTCACTTTGAGGCTTTGCCTTTTTCATGGTAGTTTGCATCTTAAATGCGTATTTAAATTAAATTCCTTTTGTTTTTACTTACGCTGCAATCAATTATTGTTATTTCATGGGCGCAGCCATTTTGTCGTTTATGCCTAAGTTAATCTGTTACGGCTTCATTCATTGGTTAAATCATTCTATTTTAATCCAATGTTTAATTGTTTATTTGGTCACGTGATTTTTGCACTCGTATTTCTATATATAAGCTTGTGCATTTCTTTATTTTGTGTTTTGATAAAAAACACGTATACATTGGAATGCAACGAGCACCTTCTAAATTTCTATTCAGTCCGCGCGACAAACTTGTCAATATAGGTCAAGAAATTTTAACAAAATCGGATTGACCTCCTTATTTTGTAAACAACGAATTTTAGAACAATGATGACAAAGGAGGCAATCATCTAAAAACGAATCAAAATCATTCTTATAAAGCGGGTGTTCGGTAGAAATTACGAAATTTATAACAAATTCTGCTAATTACAAACTTGTAATTAGTCATATGCATCCCAATGTATGTGTTAATTATATATAATATAATGAGTGAACCAATTAATACACACAGAGAGCCCACATTGAAAAAAATGGTAAAGAAAACATGCCTTTATCGCATGTAAGTATGCGAATTCTGTAATTTTTATATGTAAATATATATTGAAATTCTTAATATGTGACCTGTTATAAAAGACGGTACCTTCTATAAACGTATTGGCCATTTTAAAATAAGAACCTTTTAATAATTAATTTTAGAATCTATAAACTTAGAATGGAATTATCCCATCTTCCTCCCATGGCAGAGGTCGTACGTAGAGACGACCCTGTCATGGGGGATATGGTATGCACATAACACATGTACCGATATAACATATAGTAAACAAACATCAGATCCCCCTATATTTAGGTTATAAATGAAGTATATGCTCGCCCATATGGTCTCTTTCAGGTGGCGAGGGTAAACAAACGCAAACACACACACACACTATTTTGGGAGCTACCGGTACTCATGCATTCGAAGCCTTAAAAGCTTCATTATAATTTGAGAATTTATTTCTCATTTTATTTATGCTGATTGCAAAAATAAATATTAGTTATTATTTAAATATCTTAGGGCAATTATTTCAATAAACTTAAGTTATATAAATTTAACGTAATCCTAATTAGATAACATATATAGGTTCTATATATATCATATATTATATATTCCTTCACACAATTTAATCTATGGTTTGAATTAAACTGCTTGTTGTTGTTCATTTGACTTGTATATTCCTAATTCTGGAATTCATCTTCCTGTATCTGTATCTTGCACTATCCTCCAAAAAGCTTAAATGACTAATACAAGGAAAACAAGTTAAAATGGCGGGGCGCGGAGCGAAAACACGCTAATAATGCGGGGGTGCGGGGCAAAGTTTAATACGGCCAAATTATTTAGGTACGTAAAACACAAAGTAGAGCCTGGTACACTTGCAATAGACACGTTTCCATATCACCTGCAAACATTGCTGAATTTACTTGACTTTAAACACGGGGAGGGGGTGGACAAATTCAAATAATTTACAATAACTGTCTTAGGAAGATGAATTCCAGAAGTAAATCCTGATTCTTTAGAGTACTAAGTGCTTGAGCACTCGTAAACATAAACTTAACTTACACTGACCCATTGATATAAAAAAATATAAAAAAAATATAAGGAATAATATTTAGACCTTGTACTTAGAAATAGTATTTGTTAGAACCTTCATAAGTAGACTATATGTAGTTAAATTGTGTCTTCACATTCATTAAAAAATGAATGATATGATGTATATACGAGTATGTATTGTTTGACTTTTGAACCATGTATAATACATAATATTAAGATGAGTAAGTATATAAAATATGAAATCTGTAGTCACGTTTATTGGTAAAAGATATAACTACGTACAGTAACATGCCATAAGTATTGGTTAAAATGGCGGCCATATTGGATTTAATTGAGCATGTCTGTAGGATTAGTTTCCCTTTGATCACATGCTGCCAATCAATGTTGACGTAAATACCACAGATATTAATAGCACAGCCATGCTTTTAGGTGTGATGTCATTTATGATGTCATCAATCACTGTGTTGTAGCATTCTTTGTGTAAACAATGTAATGGGTAGGAAAGGTCAAGAATTGTCACCAGATAAGAAGAATATTATTGTTGATTTGCATTTAAAAGGATTTAGACCTAGTAAAATATGTGAGACATTGGATATACCTTATAGTACGGTATTTAATATTTTGAAAAAATTTGAATCATCTGGTTCTGTGGAAAATAAATCAAGAAGTGGCAGACCTGCATTACTGACTGGGAGGGGTTATCGCGTTTTAGAAAGACTTGTGAAAAATAACAGGAGAAACTCATTATGTGAAATCACATGCAAATTTAATGAAAATGCTGTGAATCAAGAATCCAAGAGGACAGTCCAGCGTCATTTACACAAACACAACTTTAAAAGGAGGGTTTTAAGGAAGAGAGTGGTGGTAACAGTTAAAAATAGGAAAAAGAGGTTGTCATGGTGTTTACAGAAGAGGTGGTGGACTGTTGAGAGACAGTGGAAGAATGTTATATTCTCTGATGAGAGCCAGGTTGTTGTAGGTGGTGATAATAGAGTGTATGTCTGGAGAAAACAGAGTGAAGGATACAGACCGGACCTCATTCCATCAACTAAAAATAGAAAGTTCTCTGTTATGATATGGGGGTGTATATGTTGGGAGGGTGTTGGAACTGTTACACGTGTTGAAGGTAATATTGATTCACAGAAATACATCAGCATACTTGATGCTAACTTGTGGCCAGTTTTAGTCAGACATTTCCCAGGAGATAATTATTTATTTCAGCAGGACAATGCTCCGGTTCATACTTCACGGGCAACCAGTGATTTCATAGCTCAAAGTCATATAAAAACTATGTCATGGCCTGCCCAGTCACCAGATTTGAATATCATTGAAAATATTTGGTTGTTTATAAAAAGAAAATTGACAAATAGACTTACATCGATTACTTCTGAGGGTGATCTTTTCAATCATATTGAAGACATTTGGACCAGCATTTCACCTGAGCACATTCAGAGTTTGTATAAGAGCATTCCGAGAAGAATTTTACTAGTTATTAGATTAAAAGGACATCTAACAAAGTATTAAGGTAAGGATTGTCAAAAAATTATGGAGAAAGTTGATTTAGTTGTTGCTGTTTTTCAATTTTTAAAATCACCATTTACGGTGAAAATCCAATATGGCCGCCATTTTAACCAATACTTATGGCATGTTACTGTAGCTTGAAGGCCTAGTTAAAATGTGATAGAACAAGAACATATTATACTATGATACTATGGTTCATATAATATATATGTAATGTGAAATGATTGGTTTATCCGCTATTTAGAAACTATCTCCATTTATATATTTTCCTATCTATATTTTGAATAAATACATTTGGTTTATTGACATTATAAGCAAAAAATGCTATAAGCAAAGTGACAGCTATGTCCAAGAACTATGCATGGTGGCTTATATGTGCAATTTGTGATTTTGCCCCGCGACCCCGCAAAGCGAAAAGTCGAAAAATAACAAGTTAAAATTGCGGGGCGCAGAGCGAAAACGGGGGCGCGGGATAAAGTTTAATAAATAAAAGTTCGCCCCGCGGGGGCACGAAGCGAAATTTAACAAATAGGAGCTTGAATAATTCTAGCAGGAAACAGTATACACATTTTGCATGTGTTTAAATCATAAAATAATAATAATAATAATAATAATAATAATAATAATAATAATAATAATAATAAAACCGAAAAAGAAACTGCAGCTTGAAAATTTATCCTAATACGGATATTGTACCGTCAGGTTTAACCCGTTCCATTCCGCACACCGCTGACCAATTAAATTGATCTAATTAGAGAGAACGGCAAACAGGTGCTCGCCAATACGGGTTGTCAAACAAAAATTTATGTGTCTTTACAATAACATAAAGTATCGATATATTTTAAAAAGCGGACAAATTCCGGATAATATTGGTTGGTAACAATTGTTTGCTATTAAAAGATTATTCATTCCATGTATAATTTTGAAAAATCACGCAGTTCGTTTTTGGTAACTTAGGACGCCAAAATGTAAACTCGGTGGGTGGGGTATGAAAACTTAAAATGTAAATATTTCCTTTCCTTACAAGAACAGCGAGTCTCCATAAAAATGAAGATAAGACCTATAATCTAGAGTTAGAATTTAAGAATAAACCATTAAAATAATATTTGTTAAACATTGTTAAACTAATCAAATTACAATAATCATATCTAGCTTTTAAAATTGATAAATTATTTTTTTGTTGATATTGATAATTTCAGTGGTACAGGGACACTTTGTTTTGAAAGCTTTAAATATGTAACTGATCGGTATTAAGTAAATTTCTGAAAGATAACAGAATAAATATTGGAAAAGTATGAAGATAATAAAAGTAAACAATAAACAAATAAAATAGTGCTTGATTAAATTTTAAGTACAACTGTTCAGTTATCATCCGAGTGGTTCTGGATCCTACTACTGATAATTCTACTATCAATCTTCTATCTAAACCCTCGCAGGGACATAGACATGACTGTAGACTTCAGAGACAGCTATGAGATACAAGGGAATCCGGGAACCAGTCCCTAGCTCTTATTGAATTAAGGCCCCTTGGTCCTTTTACATGCCCAGTTTATATAGCACTGATACATGTGATGATTACCTGGATTTCTTACCAGTACACCTCTAGGTAGGTGGGAAACACTGAAAATGTGTCTGAAAAATCCCAAGGGTGTTACCCAGGATCAAACCTAGGACATCAGGAGCAACAATCAGTGATCTAACCAACTGAGCTACAATGTATCAAGCCCTTATTGCGGATTTAGACATAGCTCTTTAAGTTGCATCAAATGGCTGCACACTGGGTTTATGTTTAAAGACAAAAGTGCTTAAAATGATATTTTGTCATTGATCTAATAATGATAGAGTTTAGTTCAAAATCTTTGATGCATTAATGATTATAAGTCAACACTAAATTGTAATTAATAATACTATCCTGTAAAATCAGCATATCACTCTCTCGTAATGTAGAGATTCAAACCATTAAATTTCTACCACTAAGTAGGTTAGCACTTGTTCAGTTAGCATTAAATTTAAAATTCCATTAGATTTGCTGCTCTTGACACGTTAATTTCAATAATTAATGCTGACCGGCAAACACTAACATTTGCTTAGGAGCAGTGTGGATTGAGGAGATCCATGGAATGGCTGAAAGATATCGGAATATAACTTAAATTCTCTTTGATAAATGGAAAAAAAAGAGAAAAGTTCATCATTTTTTATTAAAATAGTTTACAGGATTGATTTAAAAATCCTGTATGTTGTGATCAGAGTGGTTAACCACACTAAGTGAAATTATATATATGGACATAATTATGCAAATAAAACAATACTCAAACATTAAAGAATATGCAAAGTATGTACTGCAAATATGTGTGCATATAATATGTAATCATTAAAATATATGCATTCATTTCTTATTGTAAAATTGGACTTAAATTTTATAGAAAATAAATTTTTATAAACTCCCTTTATTTACATGAAATATTAAATTCGGTAATATCTTTATAAATAATGCTTTTTGGACCTACAATATTGATAAATCTTTATTTGAGCATCATATTTATAATTTAAAACCATAAAAAATGTATTACAGGATCTTTAAAACAAATAACATTGCTTAATATTTATCATTTATAACAAATATAAACATTAAAAGTTGTGATTTGTTGCCATAATTTTGACAGTAAATGATATTTCCATATTTATAATGCTCATTTAGTGTAATTAAGTAATAGAAAGAGCACAGAAACACGAGGCTATCTGATTTGTACGAGGGAGTATAATTCAGATCGCCGAGTGTTTTGGAGTTCTTTCTCTTTTGTATCATAGTCAAACATAAAAAAACGTTCCCTGCTGTCACAATATGAAAACCCAGGAAAAGGGAACCAATGAACAAGCATCTGAATATGATATTTCTGTCGCTTTCCCTTTCTCTGCTGTCACAATAAGTAAACCCCAGCAAAAATGAGCCAATCATTTAGTGTAATTAATATCTATGAACTGTAAATCAATACTTTACTTAACATCCTTATTTGTTGCCAAATGTTTTATTAAGTTTCATGATGCAAATACATGTTAATTACATGAGATAATTATTTGGTTTACACAATTTAATTGTGAATATGAAATGTGATATTATAAAAGGGCTCCCATATTTAATGGACACTAAAATATACAGAAAAAGCATAGCTGACAAAGCATATTATTTTCAGTCAAAATATATATACATGCATGCATATCATCTATGTTAACTACTAATGACTATTTTCTTCCTATTTTTATGATCATTTAAATAGAATTTTTATCTTAGATTGGAGACCTTTTGATTGGATTATATTCAAGTTAAATGATATACCAATATATGCACAGTGCATGCAGGTATTAAGGTACCCGCACTCCAGTTACCGCACTGTCTGTCAGGGTTAAAAATAGAGAATGCTGATTGATTCAGGTAACATTTTTCTGGGCTTTACCTATTGAAATGACAGGGAAATATGTATGAGCCGTGTCATGACAAAACCAACATAATGTGTTTGCGACCAGCATGGATCCAGACCAGCCTGCGCATCTGCCCAGTCTGATCAGGATCCATGCTGTTCGCTATCAGTTTCTCTACTTGTAATAGAGTTGGTAAATCCTGATCAGACTGCGCGGATGCGCAGGCTGGTCTGGATCCATGCTGATCGCAAACCCATTATGTTGGTTTTGTCGTGACGCGGCTCATATATAAAATATATATACAATATGTTTTGATAGAAGACATCATAAACACACTGGGTAATTATGGTCATTAAGATGAATTCAACAATTTGCCAGTGATTTAAATTTCTTTTCTTTTTTAATTCTTTTTAAATTCATATCATTTTATTATAACCATGCAATGTCTATAGCAGATTTTTGTAGTATATAGGTCTAGTGCTTTTAAGTATGTAAACAACTTTATTGTTTGATTTTATTTTTAGACCAATGGTTTAACATAAGTAAGTCAAGACAGTGTTGTTGTCAAGCAGCTGTGGTGTAGATATATCAGCATGGCGGCCCAGGCAACAGAGACGGAGAAAACAGAGGAGCAAGTGCAGACACAAGCTATTGCCAGAAATGCTCTTAATTTTATCGAAAAATTTGAACGATATGATTGCCAAGAAATGCTTGGATATATGCAAACTCATTGGATGTTATCTACTGAGGATTTCAGATATCCCACAGATCCACCAATGGGGCTTATTAGCAATATAAATCCCCAAAATTCAAATACATGTGTAATACTCATTCCTGAAGAGGACAACGTTCAGCCATTAGATTATCGTGAACTACACCAGATTGTTCGAGAATTGACTATGGGGTTGTTTGTGCTTAACCAGACACCGACGTTGTCACTTGAAGCAAACTTTGACCAGAGTACTACGTGTCAGTTACCTCCGGCGTACCAGGACACGAGGATCGGACAAATTATGATCAATGTAGACTATATGATGAAGGCATTATGGCATGGCTGTTATTTTCCGAAAGATAAACGAACAAAATTTTCAGAAAAGTGGCGATCTAGTCTTGATGTAAATGCAAATGGGAAACCAGAAACGAAGAAAACTTTGATAACAGAATTTTTGCGGAGTGGTAGGTTGATTTCTATTGACTCAAAACTTTTAGATATATATCGCAATTTGTA